TTCAGAGGCTCTACCTCCAGGAACCAGTGGATCTGAAGTTGTGGCTCAGGAACTTACATTTTTAAAAACACTTCACACATTTGGGGACCACTGTCCCTAGTCTACCACTTAATTTTTTTGGAAAAGGGAGATGAGGCGATGTTCCCAAAGACACAGTGACTTCAAGGCAGAGAAGACCCCCAGATCATGAAATCAGGATAGAGAAGATCCCCAAATCAAAGATCCTTCCACTGTATCTGATTCTACAGTCTAGAATGTTAAGTGTGAGAGCTGAATTAAAAAAAAAAAAAAAAAAAAAAAAAAAAGTTTGGCCAGGCGCAGTGGCTCATGCCTGTAATCCTAGCACTCTGGGAGGCCGAGGCGGGTGGATCGTTTGAGCTCATGAGTTTGAGACCAGCCTGAGCAAGAGTGGACCCTGTCTCTACCAAAAGTAGAAAGAAGTTAATTGGACAGCTAAAAATATATAGAAAAAAATAGCCAGGCATGGTGGTGCATGCCTGTAGTCCCAGCAACTCAGGAGGATGAGGCAGGAGGATTGCTTGAGCCCAGGAGTTCCAGGTTGCTGTGAGCTAGGCTGATGCCATGGTACTCTAGCTGGGACAACAAAGTAAAAATCTGTCTCCAAAAAAAAAAAAAAAAAAAAGAAAAAGAAAAAGAAAGAAAATTAGTAAGTAGAAAAAAATAGCTGAACTTTACTAAGTTCTTTTTTGGCCTTTGGGCAGGGTGAGGCACGAAAGTGAACAGATGTGGCACAATGAGAAAAAAGAATTTTTATTCACATCTGTTACATAAAGACCTGAAAGTAGTTTTGAGTTTTTTTGCTAACCTTTCTTAAACCCCTCAAGATGGGAAGGCTGATGGATGTATGCATACCTGATACCTACACATCCCCTTGGGACCCCATAAAAGGAGAGAGAATTACTAGAGACCTTGGTGTTTTTACAGCCCACAGACTGGAGACTCCCTTCGATGAGTTTTGATTGGGAGCTCAATTATAATCTTAGATGGGTCACAAGTTATTGCTCTCACCAATTCTCACCAGGGCTTGCTACATCACTGTTCAGCAGTTATTCAGCTTTTGTTACTATAACAATAAAAGGATAAGGCTAAGCTGGAGCCTGACTCACAACAGGAATCATGACAGGAGAACCAGGAATTGTGGACAGTGCAGTGAGTGTTCCAGGTCAGCACAGAGCTGAGCAGGAACTGGAGGGGAAACGGCTTCAGAAGCTGCCCAGTGACAGGCCTGCAGACCCCAGAGCTGGAGTCACCTGGTCTTCTGTCTGGAACGCTGTCATTCTGGACACAATTAGTTATGGTGACTAACAACAGTGCTTTACCCTGTTACATCATCCATGCTTACCCAAATACAACCCAGACAAAAGTTTATGTCAGTTGTCAGCTTCTATGAAAATCCCCTATACAGAGACTGCTCTGATTTATTCCCAGGACGTGATGTATCCTCAGAGGGAAAAGATGAATGTTCTTGAATCCTAAATCAGACGTGATACCGCAGCAATACCAAATCACCACTGTAATCCTTCACTTATTCACTCAGTCTCGAATTACATCAACCAGTGGAAATAAACTCTTCTAACTAGTCAAAGAAAAATCCTCATGGCACATAAAATCAGTAAAAAGGGAAGGAATGCAGGAAGGGCAGAAGAGCTTGTGACAGCAATACCCAATGCAACTGAAAGAGTCACACCCAGCAATTTACAACCTCCTGGTGAAGCTGTCACAAAGCACAAGACCATCAGCTGACTAGGGTTTCGTTTTTTTCTCTACCCACTTCATTCAACCTGTCCAACAGCTACATTTACTATTAAGTATTATCAAAGTAGAATGGTTTTCAGTTTCTACGTGCAGAACGCAGTGGAAAATACTCTTCCCATTCCTATAACCTGCGTCATACTTTTTTTAAATGACCTTTTACTGGAATCTTCAGAATTCTTTGGTCCGTTGCCTTAGCATCTCTCTCTCTCTAAATCTGTGACTATTTTTGTATTTCCTAGTCAGTAATCCTAACTGCTATAAATAAAGACTTGTAGTAAAAAATCATGGCCAGCTTATCCATGTAAAGCAGTTTACTTTGTGAAAATATACCCTGGTTTATGTACTTTCTTGTTAAGCAACCACAACAGACAATTTAAAGATTTTCCTTTTTAAATAGAATTAGTTCATATAAATATAAACAAGACAGATATCTACACTCATTAATCCGCCTGCTTCTTCCATGCTGGTGATTCTAAAGCAGTACAGAGCGTTTCTTCTGAATGCAAATTTCAAGATATGAAACTGTAAAGCACAATTGACTCTGAAGTGCTTTGTTTCAGTTCCTCTTCAGGGTATAAAGGGTATATTTTAAAGACAAGATTATGGCAATTTTTCTCTTGCCATCAGAGAAATGATTCACAAATAGGCTTAGCTAATATTCCCAGATTTCTCATATAAACAACCCTATGTACTTGTCTAATTTACTGGGAAAGTTTGAAAAAAAAAAACAAAAGTTGTTAGCAGCTTTGCTATAGTCAGTATTTTAAGAAATAAAATTGGAAGCAATTATTTGAAGACTGTACCATATACTCAGCATCATATTTCAGAGTTACTAGATTTGAAGTGAGTTTTAGCAAGGAATTTTTTTAATGACAAACCATCTAAGATGCCTTTCATTGAATTATAGTTTTTTGTTGACTCTGAAATTTTGTGAAGTGAACTGAACCCCAGTATCTGCCATTACAAGGGGGAATGGAAATGAAGATAAAGAGGACATTCTGTCTTAAAATGTTTCATGCCACATGAACCACTATGAGATGATCAAAATGTTTGTTTCTGCAATGAACTGTGTTAGTTTTACACTGTGGCCATGATTAGGCATGCAACATGATTCTACTGTTCCTGCGGAATCTTTCTCTTCATCTTTTCAATAACTCTAAAGTCATAAGGAGGAAAAAAAAAACCAAAAACAAACAAACCCTGCTTATCAGTGTGGTCAACTAAGAAGACCACTTGAAACTACTAATTTAACATACCCAAGAGCAAAAAGGGAGTTGGAAGCCCTACCTAACTGCCACATGACTTGGACAAACAGATAACTCGTGAGCACCCTGGAGCCAGATCCTTCAGTGCAAGCTCCTGTCAATAATTCACTTTTACCTTCAAGTTGGCCCCAGTCCTAAAGAAATTCTGGAAACCAAACACAATACTGCAAATAACAAATATGCTTTCAAGATTGTAGGAAGGGGAAGAGAAAGCAGATAAGGTCTACCAAGACAACTGGTCTGACCAGAGATGAATTCTAATTAATTGACAAATATATGTCACCATTGTATAAAATTCTTAAAAAAAAAAAAAAAAGTCAGCATTAGAGAAGTAAATCTAAAGGAAGAGAAAATAGGGAAAAGGGATCACAGATATAAAAACATTTTAAGTTTTAATTGCTGCTTAAACAAAAATGATCACAATTCTATCAAATGGCAAGTTTATTCAAAGTGAGAAGCAGCAGTTCACCTTCTAAAAATTTTAGAAGGTTTTAAAATATTGGTATGGCCCTGCATATTATTTTCTTCTTGGACACTCATTCCCTGTCCTTCACCCTAAATACCTATTTGGGGGTCTAGAATTCTACAGAATAATAAAAATAGGGGATACAGAAGGTTCTAATACTATATCTCAGAATCTCAGGAGAAGAAAGATTTTCTAAAATAATCTGAGCCAACTACATAGCTTAATAGTTGAGAGCAAGACACCAAAGAGTCAAGTTGTTAGCCCAGGACTGGGAGTCTCCTTGGGCGGCAGAGGTGGGGGATCAGGATCATTACTCTCTCCTATCACTCAGCTGCCCTTTCTTGATGAGAAACAGATAAAAACAGACATTATAAAAGTGAAATTCTTATCTGAACACTCAAATTTATTTTTCTACTATTGCATATCATCACCTCTTCCTCTACAAACATATCTCCTTAATTGAGTGAACAGCATGTGACCCAACATTTGTAAAATGACCTCCCCACTTCTCCCTAACTCTCTAAGCTACTGGGCTCTTATCCTATGGCAGACTCTATCTCGTTTTGTTAAGGTTCTACTAAAAAATGATAAAGACTTTTACATGACATAAACTATATCCTGGTTATTTTTAACAAAACCAGGAACCATATGTATGGGATAAATAGTTTATGAGACATGTTAATTTTGAGAAAATTTCTGCAAGAAAAAAAAATTTAGACAAATTTAGAAACTTACTTTTACACTTATCATGAGAATCAGTGCTTAACCTTTGGCTGTCCTTACTATCTATCTACATAAGATTTTGGAATGAAATGTCATTCTCAAAGAGTTTTTCCTTTTTATTGTATGCAATAAAATTCTTTACAATAGTGTTTCAAGTTCTACTACTAATAAAATTAATGAACCCTTCTAAAGTGGATGAAAAAAAAAAAAATCAACCTAAAAGAAAATAGCAAGTACACTGTTACTCTCTTTAGACAAGCTACATTATTAAAATTAGTTGATCATAATACATCCTTCTCATGAAAAAGATTTTTCAGGAGGAAGACTAGGCTCTCTTTCTTGCCACCCTGGCCTTCAACCAGAAAAGCACCACTTGGCCACCCACCATGCAGACTATGAAATGAGAACTCCCAGTCCTGTGCCCCATCCACTAGCTTTGGTAGTACTTCAGGACTGCAACTTTTTTTCCTGATAATTACCGTGAAGAGTATTGTTCAAGCTTTAACAAAAGACAAGGATGTAACCATTCCAGCAGAGGTAATGAAAAGTTAAGAAGAAAGTAGATGGGTAGTAGAATCACAGAAAAAAATTCCATGTTTATACCTATTCTAAAAAAGCAAGATTTCTGACTCTGCACATCCCCACAATGACCCCATTCCTCCTACTTAGAAGCACTTTTGAAAAACTGTCAGATCAATACAATTCCATCTCCGTGGTATTTAGTGAGTTAAATAAAAATTTATCTGAGACTTTGAAATAAAGTTTCAAACCTGTTGTGGAGTCCCTTGTGATCAGTGTTCCTTCCTACACCCGCACGTTTTCGAATCTTTGTGCATAAAAGGGTCTTGTAAATCCTCCCAGCACCAGAAACGGCATCACTCACACATCTGGCCGAATCTCGCCAGCCCCCTGGCTGGTATGTGGTCTTCGTTGTGCCGCCACACATCTCCTAAGTGGTTTGACGTTCTTCTGGTTTATCCCGACCATCAACATGGACTTGGACACAAATCTTGAAGTTCCTTTGTTATTTGAGAGATAATCCACAGTGACCAGCAGTTCTAAGCAATCATTTCACTCCCTATATAGTATGAGAAAAGCTACTTGGAAGCAGCCTCCTAATTTCCTCTTTCAAAAGTTAAAAAAAAAAAAAAAAAAAAGGAGTGAGGAACATTCATTTGTTACGTAAATTAAGCCTGCCAATGATTTAGGAAGTCAGATGCATCCATCAAGTTATAAAACATGCTGTCTGCAAATACATTATAAACATAGGCAAATCCAAATCCCTTTTCCTACTTTTGTTCCTAAGCTTGTACTCCAGTTACCAAAAGACAAAACACTCAACAGGTTGAGCAGCTTGGAATGACTCACTCCATCTGTCCTCCCTAGCTGGAGATTATGTAGTAGTCAATTAATTGGTCACAAGACCTATTCATATGGCTCCGAGCAAATGCAGTGACTTGCCTTCAGCTGCAAGGTTGTTCTGACATTGGCCACACCACCCTCTTACTGGTGTCATGTGAGCAAGCATCAGCTGACAGGTCTTACTCTGCAACCTTGCAAAATCCTACCCATAGCAAGTGAGAGATGGTTACCCACAACAGCCAAATGTAGGACTTAGTGTATAGGAAGTACCATGGGGGGGGGGGGCGGAGTAGGGACATATACTTGCTTTAACGTAAGGAAAAATTGGTAAGAAAAATAAAAATGATAATAAGAAGTAATAATCCCTCAAAACTTGTGCTGAATTCCTGGGCATATCCAAGTTGAGAAAGCCCTGAACTATCAGAACTCAAGGACAAAAGAAGTTCAATTTTGACTTCTGACACTAACATACCTCATCTGAAAAATGAGAATATAGCATCTGAAAATGCTATAGAATACGAATCTGTACATTCATGAAGGAAATACTTCATTAGAAATAAAAATCCTAAATCCCTGGAATATAGATCAAATCTTGATACACAAAGGGATTGCTCCTGACCCTAATTGCTTTTCCTCTTCCTAGTCCTGTAATTTGGCTGAAGAAAACATTAATGGATCTCTAGAATCTGATGAACGTTTGACTGGTTCTTTGGTTTCATTAAGTTTTAAATGTATCTTTATATATGGCAGCCATATTTTTTCACTCCACAAGTGTGAAAAAAACTAATCATGTCATAGCAGAGCCCTCAGTTCCCGTAAGACATTATTACATATGTGACCTCTAAAATTCCTACATAATGAACTCAAAAAAAAAAAAAAAAATTAAATACAAAAAACCAAGAAAAAAAAAGATTGCAACACACCTGTGACAACAACTTGGCTTCTTTGTGGCACAGGCTAAATTGACAGTATCAAGATAAAACCTATTAGGAGAAAATGAATTCATTTTTCCATGAAGGGGAATTCATTTTGAGCTAAAGCTTAACTGCCATGGCCATAGGCTGATCACAGGTTCTTTTTATCCCTTGAACTATCTTTAAGATCACTTTTTTTTAATAGAGAATCAGAAGATTACTTATGCAAGCACTATAAAAAACTTTAGACACTTTCCACTTTAGGCACTGGGCAGCTCAATGAGCAAAGGCTGAAGGTAAAGCCTCCATTCAGTACAAACCTGCCTGCCTGACAAGTGATGCCCCAAATTAACGTTTCCGATTCGCCTAAGGTTTAGCTAGTCTAGAATCACAGGAGAAACGAAAGTACGGGTCCAATATAGGGGATTTAAAAATGCTCCCCATACCCTGAATTTTATAAAACACATAGTGGAATTGCTGGGGGAACACACCCCATTTTTTATGTATAAAAGATGAATTTTAGTTTTAAAGCTTAAATCTCTAAATGGCATTTATCCAGGATCTGATAAAAGAACATCAACTCCCTATTGAAACATCTATTCTGTATATACTTTTACCTAGTAGTTAGCCCCCCAAATGTTCAATCATTCTAATACGTGGCTTTTACATTTTCCAGAGCCTTCAAATGTTATAAAAATGCAAATTTTATCCACTATCCAGGTGGTGCAGACATTTTAAATGATGGGAGTAATAGGAGATAAAAATGATGACATGGTTACAAAATACAATTGGATGAAATAAGGATCTGCCTGCAGTCAGAAAGAATTCTCTTAAGCAGAAACTAAACCAAATGGCACAGGAAACTCTAAACCTCTCCTGTGTGTCTCCTTTGCTTGGCAGCCATCGTTAACTCAGCACTTACTGTGTGCCAGCTACTGTCTCTCCCTAACTTCAGTCAGTGCACCTTTAGCCACGGCTTCCTTGGTAAAGTGGTGTTCAAATGTTAGCATGCTTGTATGAACACAAATTGCCGGGCCTGCCCTCAGGGTTTCTGATTCAGCAGTTCTGAGGTGGAATTTGAGAATTTACATTTCTAACAAGTTCCCAGGATGCTGTTGCTGCTGGTCTGAGAACCACACATTACTAAGAATCACTGTCTTAGTAAAAAATTCCATCTTCCCCATGAAGATGTTTCTGATTACCTAGGCTAGATGATCTTTTTGTTCTTGAACACCTCTGTAATATTTTTTAGCCACATTTTAAATACCTAACACATAAATTGCTTTGTAATAGTGCACATGTCTTGTGATCCTAACTGGATTGTAAATTCTTTACAAGTATAAAAACTGGGTCTTGACATTCATCTTTGTACCTCATGTAGGTTTTACTCATGGTAGATGTCCAACAGATACTTTCCGATTGTTTTAGTAACACTAATTATTTGCATGAAAGCTATGATATGAATCTACCTGCAATAAGCAGCGGGCTTGTCTGACAGTCTGATGCATGCATTCTGATCAGGGGGGTGATCGTACACTCACACTCCATTTCTCCATTTCCCTCTTGTTTACTACAGCAAAAGTTCCTTAGAAGCTTTAACATCTTGTGACTGTGACTTATTACGATACCTTAACAGAGAGGACTTTCAGATTTTTTAAAAGTGAAAATGCCATTTCCTCTGTTATTCTGCTTAATAACCCTTAATTCTTCAAAACCTGATAAAATGTAATAATGTAGAGATGTATATCAAAACCACAGCTATAATACTTAAAAGGGGTGTGCCTCTATATGACCCCAAATTTCCTGTTTAAATGGGAGCTCTAAAATTCCTTCAGTAAATGAAAAAAATAATTGTACCATCACAACTTTTCTTCTGAGACATCAGAGCAGCTCAGAGAGTAGCTAAGAGAAGCTATGTTTAGATCTTCAATGCCCAAATGTCTGTTCTCTCCCCTCAATCCAATCTCCCTGTTTTGTCAATCCTCTCCCTCTTGAAATGGAATTATCCTCTCATATAGGTATTCATATTTTTATTCATTATTATGCTGGGTACCCTGCTCTTAAATATCAAATAATATACATATTACAATTTACCATCAACCATACTTGTAACCCTATACATGGCCAAGTTCTCTATTTCCCTCACTTAGTTCATCCAAGTGTCACAGAAAATAATTTGCGTTATCCAACGTTTACACATTTACAAAAGTGTCTGCAATCACTGACTGGACTCCCACACTCCACGTGTAGTTCAATATGCTGATTGGAACAGCTTCTGCCATCACTGATACTTTCACAATATAGACAAACTTAATAAAACATTGGCAGGAAGGACCAGAGATGTATGGAAGTATGATGAATCCATGTCATATATTGAAGGAAAGGAGAATGCTGGTTCAATTTTTTAAGCTGCTATTTGAACTGTTTGCAATATCATACCCAGGTACTAAGTGGTCTCACAGAGGAGTGTCAAGTTATTAGTCAATAAATGGCATAACCATCCTTTAGATCACTGAAGGCAAGTATCTGCCTTCAAGTACCCAAGACATCAGTCCGACCTCTTTAGCCCATGGCCAATATCTCTAATCAACCAGAACACTGTTTCCTGTTGTGCCCAGACTACTCTCCCTCCAAATCTTTCTTTCCAGTGCAGCGCTCCCAGGATCCACCTCCAACCCAAGATTTGACATCTGAGAAAAAGCCCATTCCCATGCCTGATGCAGGGCTGGAAGAATTAAATTCAGGAAAGTTTCAAAGTAAGTATTCGTGCGTTTCTGCATTCCCTTGACCACTGTTCACATGATGAAAAGCAGTGATCACAATATGTAATGAAAAATAAATTCAAAGGCCACAACGGAAGTGGATTTGAAAAGAGAAAAAACTAAGGCTAATATAGGTCCCCTAAAAGTCCAGTCTAATTATTCTTATCTAATAAATCTATCAAGAATCTTTCTCTGCCTATTCACATTATCTTAATAAGCAAAAAGGAAGAATGCAGGAGAGGAGGGAGTGGCAGGGGAGTATGATCCACAACCCTATAACTGAGCCTCCTCTTTATCAGGGTGATTCCCTCTCTTCCACAATACCTTCTCCATGCCAAGAACAACTGATCACGGACCTTTCTACGAAGTGATTTTCAAAGCCTGGTCCCCAGAAGGAGACACAAAAAGGTTATGGGATGCTGTTTCTTGATATGAGTACTGGTGCTGTGTGTACACAGCAAGCAGAATATGTATGCTTTTTTGTGTGTATATTATAATTCAATATGAAGTTTATTAAAAACAAAAACCAAAAAGGCCCTCATACTGGGCTAGAGCAAGTAGACTGCAAAGAGGAGATGTGAGAGCATTTTTTAAGCAAGCAGTGTGCTTTAGGGGAACGGGCTTTGGAAACAGATCGAGGATTGGAACCAAGTCTGTCAATATGTGGCTGTTCTCAGAAATGTGGTCATGGATAGCTCTTAACAGCTAAGCAACAGCCCATCTGCACACCAGTTCAGTGTGCAATAAAAAAAAAAAAAAACAAAAACCTTGCCCTAACGCCACCTAAACTCAACTGATGAGCTGAGCACTCAGGAAATTTGGTGATATGTACAAACTCAGTCATATTGGGTAGATAATGCCTGGTGTTGGCTAGATCAACCAAGTGCTTACTTTCTTTAAGTGCCAAGCATCATTCTATGTGTTCCATTTAATCACAGGAAGCAGGCAGTGGCAATATCTTAACAGATGAGAAGAATGAAGCACTGAAAGGAGAAGGAACTGCCCAAAGATGTATTACTAGCTTGTCAGTGGCAGAGCCAGGAGTTAAGCCCAGGCATCCCTGCTCACGAGTGAGCCCACCCTGTTCAACTGCACACTGTTCTACATTGGACTATCTGTGGATAGATTTTAGAAAAAGTTAGGAGGAGGTAGGTGGATATCACTGACTGATAAATCAAGTCAAATTATTTCTCCTACATCTCGAATCCCATGCCACTTGGAATGTTTAAATTCTAATGCGGTTCACTGAGGACAAGGCCCCAGACATGTGCTTTGCGTGTGACTGTCTTGTCAGACACCTTGCCATGAACCCTGCCCTACTTTTGCCTGTAAACAACCCCTGTGCAGGAGCCAAGCACACCAGCCACCCGGCGGGCCCTGCTCTGTCCTCCCCGCTCCACCCTGCCCAGTCCAGCATGTTAGCTAGGGGCAGACTCCTAAGCAGAATGATTTTTTTGATCCACACGAAATTAGCTTAAATGTACAATAAAACTAACCAGTATAACTGCTTTGACTTAAAATGTAGAACCACCTGGGAGATCATTTGGTTTTCAGATTCATATAACAGTTAATAAAAATTCAGGGTGATATGTAATTCCTAGTTATAATCTAGATTATTTTCTACTCCCATGTCTTCATACTTTGAAGAGCAAAATTTAGTATCCAGCACACAGAAGGCCCTCTGTGATCGAAAGAATGAGTGAATGAGTGGCATGGCTTCATAAAATCTGTGAATCATAGAAAGATAATTATGTTATAATGTTAAATAAAAAGAAAAGGATACAAAATTATATATGCACCTTGGTAATAAGTGTGCTTTCTAAAAACCAAAAGTAGAAAAAAGAAGTATCAGGATACCTTTGAATAGCCAGACTAAGGACACTTTTGAAAAAAATTTTCTGTATTTTCCAATTTCCAATAATAGATATGTATTATTTACAAACAAAGAGTAAAACTTTTTTTAAAAAAAATTCTTACCAGTAACGATTTCTTTACTTTGCAAGCTTTATTGTAATGAAATTGTCAGAGTCAAAACAATCTCAGACAGCTGAAAGGAAAAGCAAAGCACTCACCCTGTAAGGGTATGATTCTACTCACAGTTTTTCCTTCAACATAACTGCTATCGTTAATATTTACACAAGCCAGCGAAAGTATATAGCTGTAGCTC